CAAGTTTATGTAATACCGTGACCATGCGTTGGTTTATCTTGCCGTTCTTCTGTTTTGTTGAATTCTATTAACAAAAATGTTTTAGTAAGACTCTGAAGGCATAAATTTGCGAGTATCTCACACGGTATTTTTGGAGAGCATTTGTATGTAACGGAAGTAAACATATTATAGTCAAATGATTCCTTGTCGTTTTTAGAAGACCCTGTTAGAACATCTGGTCTTGTTTTTTGTGGTTGTGGATATGTAAAGACTAAAAATAAGGACAGCCTCAAACATTTATTTTGCAAATCTTCACGTTTAAAATTTCTGATGTTGGAGAACAGGGATCTGTGCAAAATGATCAAGTTTTCAGAGCTTTTAAATAGTGAGAAAGACTACAGAGAATGAACTTGCAGTGTTTGGAAAATTACTTGGCCTCCCATTGGTGTTTTTCTTGTAGCTGGGAATGCCTTTGCTCTAGATTTCTTAAAATCTGTTTCTGAAATTGGTATCTCTGGTAAGAGTGGGTAATACCTGTTATGTGTGAACTGTTTTACCTGCAGTCATTGTGGCAGGTTTGGGAAAAGTTGTGTTGTCAGTCTTCTTGAGAAGCCACCTTTAATGTTTGAGATTTCTTAGTATTTTTCAGGTACAATAAATGAAAAGGCAGATGTGGTTCACTAAGCCAGTCTCCACTGGGGGGTCCTAGTGAGCTGGATGTTTGCAAATGTGACACCAATCTACAAGATGGGCAGAAGGAGGATCCAGTGAAATACAGATCTGTCAGTCTGATGTCAGTGTCAGGAAAGGTTATGGAGCAGATCATCTTGAGTGCCATTATACACCGTGTACATGACACCGAGGTGTTGAGGCCCAGTCAGCATGGGTTCATGAAAGGCAGATCCTGCTTGCTGGATCCTTCTATGACAGGGTTAGTGGATGAGGGAAAGGCTGTGGATGTTGTTTACCTGGGTATCAGTAAAGTCTTCGACACAGTGTCCCACAGTGTTCTCATGAAAAAACCTGGCTGCTCAGACTTGGACAGGCATATGCTCTGCTGGGCAAAACACTGACTGGGTGGCCAGGCCCAAAGAGTGGTGGTGAATGGAGCTAAATCCAGCTGATGGCTTGTCACAAGTGGTGTTTGCCAGGGCCCAGTATTGGGGCCATTTCTGTTTAACATCTTTATCAATGATCTTGGTGAGGAGATAGAGTGCATCTTCAGTAAGTTTGCAGACACACTAAGTTGGGCAGAAGTGTTGATCTGCTTGAGGATAGGGAGGCTCTACAGGGTGACCTGCACAGACTGGATTGATGGGCCTAGGCCACCTGTATGAGTTTCAACAAGGCCATGTGCAGGGTCTTGCACTTGGGCCACAACAGCCCCATGCAGTGCTACAGGCCTGGGGAAGAGTGGCTGGAAAGCTGCCCAGCAGAAAGGGACCTGGGGATGCTGCTTGACAACCAGCTAAATATGAGTCAGCAGTGTGCCCAGGTGGCCAAGAAGGCCAATGGCATCCTGGCTTGAATCAGAAATAGTGTGACCAGCAGGACTAGGGAAGTGACTCAGCACTGGTGAGGCCACACCTTGAGTACTGTGTTGCGTTTTGGGTGCCTCACTACAAGAAGGACATCAGGGTGCTGGAGTGCGTCCAGAGAAGGGAAATGAAGCTGGTGAAAAGTCTAGAAAACAAGTTGTATGAGGAGTGGCTGAGGGAGCTGGGGTTGTTTGACCTGGAGAAAAGGAGGCTGAGAGGGCACCTTATCATTCTTTACAGCTACCTCAAAGGAGGCTGTAGTGAGGTGGGAGTGGTCGCTTCTCCCAAGTAACAAGCGATAGGGCAAGAAGAAATGGGTTCAAGCTGTACCAGAGGAGGTTTAGGTTGGATATTAGGAAAAATGTCTTCACCACAAGGGTTGTCAAGCACTGGATCAGGCTGCCTGGGGTGGCGGTTGAATCACTATCCCTGGATGTGTTTAAAAGTCATGTAGATATGGTGCTTAGGGACGTGGTTTAGCAGCGGACTTGGTGGAGTTATGGTTGGACTTGGTGATCTTAAAGGTCTTTTCCAACCTAAAAGACTCTATGGTTCTATGGAGAGTAAAACCTTGGCCAAATACTGACTATTTTATTTGTAAGCAGTAAGTGCAGGTGATGTGACCTGGTAAGGTTTTGAAATTCTAAATCACTGTTGAAATGGATGCAGTAGATGTCAAGTGCCTTGAGTTTGGTCAAACTTGAGGTCAAACCAGACTATCCAAAATAAATAATTTTTCAGTGAGATTTGTTCAAACTGTAATTTCCCAGAACGAACTGTATCACGTAAGCATAGTACAGGCATTCTCAGTTTCTGCCATTGCTTTTCTTCAAGTTGGTGTAGTCAGGACATATATGCAAAAACAGAGGACTTGCTGCAAAGCTCAGGAGGAAGTATTTGTCTGGAATCGTTTGCCAGTTGCTGCTGTGTCCTCTTAGGGGAGCAGAAGCCAATTATTTGCTGTATTGAGTGAACTCTGGCTGTCTTTCCTTTCCCAAAGAAGTAGAGACAGGAAAGCTGTGTCCTGATTAACACTGACTAGTTAGTTCTGGGGTTTTGCTTTGATTTCATTTGAGCATGCTACTGGCAAATAAGATGACTCTACAAGAAGGGCTTGAAGATGCTGTAAAAGACTCCGTTACAGAGATTGTTCAGCCCTTCTGTGATCCTCTTAAGTGCTTTATTTTGCCACCTGGTGTTTCCTCCAGATCACTTGGCTTTAACTTGATATCCTATCTCCGCCAGACGGTGGAGAACTTAGGAAATTGTATCAGTTAAATTTTTTTTTTTTTAAAAAAAAAAAAAAGGTATGCTGAAGGTTGACATTAAAGCTTGCATGACCTATCCCTCAGACACCTGCAGCTTTAAATTGGAAGGTGTTCAAATTTTTTTCTGGTAACGCTGTTTCTTTTTGGATGGAAAATAATGCTTATCTGTATCATGTTACCTACTGTTTTGTTAATATTGTTTTATTTGTAGGAAGGTTTGAAATTCAGATTATTTGACTGTTCTACTTGCTTCCTTCTGTAATGTGCTGGGTATTGGCAAACTGACGTGTACTTGAAGTTAAATGTGTTCGAATGCGGAGCAGTGTGATAAAGTTGAAGTCTGAATGAGGTCCAGGAAAAAATGACAATGGTTTCCATTGGTTAATGTTGTGAACCTGTTAACCATTAAATTCATCTTTTTGTCTTGACAAAAGTTAGAACTTTTGAAATTTCCCTTAGAAAATGTCTTTTTCCACATTAAAATGCTTAAATTATCTTGTGATGTCCTTACCTTCTTCCCAAAGTACGACTGCTCCTGACTTCTTCAGCCATTTTCACAAACTAGGGGTGGCTGTTGGTAACACTTCATGGATTGGGAAGGTTGAAAGGCACTAAGGTCTTGTTTCCTGCTGTTTGTCCTGGGACAAACAGGTTTTTTGTTGTTTTTTTTCTTTCCCTTTCACCCCCTACAGAATGAGAGTTCTGCTTTGAGATAGGATGCCCAGGCTCTCAGCTATGTAATACTGTCTTAGTTCTGAAGGTTTATGCCAGACCCCTGAAGGTCAATCCACAGGCAGATTGCTGTAGGGCACTGGAGAGCAATGTCTTTTTGAAGATCTGTTTGCAGGTCAGCGTTGATCCATCCTACAAAAGGATGAATACAAATTTCTTGAGGCTTTTGTCTCTGCTAGTCAGCTCTGAAGTCTGGTTTGGAGCCATCCGTCTGTGGCCATGCTGAAGCACCTCATTATTTCTGTGTGGACTTTTTTATTTAGCTAGGCAGATACAAAGTTTTACTGACATTTCCTACGTGTTACTCAGCAAAATGAGGCTCCATCAAAGATTTTTACATTGAACTGGAATGTAATAAAATAAGCAAGTGAAGAGTCAATTTTGTTCTTTAATAGCCTGTAGGTTTTTTTCAAGGTGTAGTTTTATAGATTTGAGTTGGAGTGACCCAGACCCATAAATTTCCAGAACTTTCCAGCAGTCATTTTTTACTGGGGTCAGGCAGGTTTTGTTTCTTGCACCGAGCACTCAGGCCTGGCAGCTGCATTAGTTATAGTGCTCTTTGTCTTCCCAAGCTCCAGGGAAGCCTCCACTACACCTAGGTCAAACCCTTGGGCCTTCTAGTCACTTAACTCATTTGTTCCATGTTAGCTTAACACAGTGCTTAAATAGGGAACTGCAGTCTTTTCTGTCTTTGTGTGAAAAGGTCATTTTCCACACTGACTGCACTGCACCATTTCAGTTTGGAAATCTTACAGACCAATAGTTCTAAGTAGTTAAATGAATCAAGAAAAAAGGGTATTTTCCTTGTTCAGCAATCACTTTCGGTTCTGTGTAATAAGATAGTTGCTGGTAAAGTGTGTGATTCAGCTCCAGGCCTTAATGTCATCTTGGATAATTTGAGAGAAAAAGACCCTGTGAAAATATTGCTAATAAAGGTCTCAGAAAATAAGACATTGTGGACTTGTCATGGTTTTCTAAAACTCACACAATATTGCTAAGCAATGTATTTGTATTTATGAATGTGGGTTGATAAGTGTAGTAGATGTGTGTATTTAAATAAACTTATTTTCTAAATAGCTTTGGTGTGGTTGTGAAAAGGCTTTTGTATTGTACCGTGTTATTTAAGATGCAGTATTCTACATTTTAAAAGTTTAATTTCATTTTAAAAGCTAATTAAATTGTATAATATTTTTATATTTAAAGAAATCTTCTGTCTTTGGTACTTCTTGTAGGTCACATTCTCAAAAAAGTAACTTGGATTATTTTGACTGGGAAGATGTCATCTACATGGCTATGTTATGTGTTCCTAACCTCGTAATTTGTGATTTGCTTTGGAAAAAGTAGTCCAAGACTACATGATTAGTGATACATAAGTGCACAGGATTCCTGTATAGAAACGTGGAAGAATTTTTTTAAAGTAATCTTTTAGTCTGTTATCTTCTTTTTTTAATGAAGTTACGAATTTCAGAAAATTTGCTATTACAGGTAGCATCGATTGTAGATGAATCTCCTGAACCAGAAGTGATAAGCGAGTCTCAAAAACGTAGGGAAATACTTTCAAGAAGGCCTTCGTACCGGTAAGAACTTTTTATTTTGGCTTTGCTGGTTTTTAAAGGCAGCTTATATAGTACAGCAAAACTGTCTGATAAAAGCCAGTGACTTAGTTTTCTCATGGATATGGAATTTCGTATATATAAATTTTTCTACATTCTTTTTTAGAAAAATTTTGAATGAACTCTCATCAGATGCTCCTGCAGTACCAAGGATTGAAGAAGAAGAAAAGTCAGAAGATGAAGGAGCACCCTCTGGAGTGTCGGCGATGGCCGTGCCAACCAGCCTGTACCATAGTAACACGGGGCAATACAGTATGTTTGCAAAGACACTGCCTGGTGTCACAGAACGTACATAGCAACAGCTTCATTTCTAGGAGTTCCAAAATGGAGTAGAGGTGTTGGATTTTGGTGAAGAATGACAACTTCTATATTTCTAAATATTTTCAATTTTTATCTTTAATTTTTCCTAATATGGGCATAGACTATAATATAATCTATATATTATATATTAATATAGTCTATAGACTTTGAGTGTGTTTCTTGTAATGTGTCTCGGTTGCTAGATTTAGTCCTTCTAGAACTCCTGTGTGTGAAAAATTTTGGAGGTGAAGGTCAGGTGAGATGAAAAATGTTGACACTTCTATGTGAATGGTCAATGTTATAAATCATTGCATTTTCAGTTTACTGTGATTTGCTTTGTATTACTGCTGTTCATTACATGAAATGACAATTAGCGAGTTAGACTCTTATTTTTAGTGTAAGTTTGGAGGATTAGATTACTTAACTTTGAATTTTCTTTCTTAAAAGAGCTATGTCTCTTCCTCTCCTACTCTGAAGTATGAACACTCTAACTGCAGAATTAACCTAAATTGTGGTGTTCAAGATTTGATCCTTCATCCAAATGCAAGTTAAAAGTTAGATTCACAGTTCTGTTCTATATTTTTTTGATTTTTTTTTTTGTCTTTTTTATTCCAGCATTTATGTTAAAAATCTTGCATAACTTGCTCTCCATGACTACTTTGGGCTTACTTATGTATCAGCTAAAGGGATAACTTTCTAATAACTCTTTTTTCAATTGTGTATTGGATAAAGCTTCACTCCTACAGTTTGAGCTTTTTTTTTTCCATGTCTTTTTGTGTGTAGGCACAATTAAATGCAGGTATTTTTCCTTTGATATAATAACAGGAAAGCAACAAAAGAAATGTTGTGGTTTTTTTTTTTTCTTGAAACAAGAGTACACAGGAAGTCTATTAAAACATTGCAATGGCACATGAAAGAGGATAGAATGGCTCTCTAATTGTATTCTAGTCACCTTCAGAACTCTTCAGTTATTTTTAATTTATGTAAGTAAAGTAATTATCAATTCTGAGAAACCAGAACTTGCTTATAGTATTATCTACCCGTTCAGCATAGCAAGTAATTTTGCTTGGGCTCCTAAGCTACTTTTCTTACCCTGTCTGTAAAGTGTAGACATAAATAAATGTCTGCTTCATGATGTGCAGCATCTGAAGTGCTCTTTTCTGTGGACTTGTGGTCATGCTAAATTACAGTTATCCAGTGCAGAGTCTGGCAGGTGTTCTTGACCAAATTAAATTATTTTCTTCAATTTTTGAATTGCATTTTTTGTTTGTGTTAGGCTTAGTTTCAAAACAACAACAACAAATTGCTGTTTCCGTGAAGTGCTGTAGTGTCTGTACTATGTTCTAATGAGCTTTCAAACTTTTAGGATTTCTGAGAAATTATGAGTTTAGCTTTCTCAGTTGTAGATTCCTCCAGGAAAATAGAGCTGTACTTTTACCAGCAATGTGTTGCAGGAGGTGATTCTTAATTTAGGATGTTTTAATTGGAACAGAACTATAAATCATATACTAACAGGAAAGTCACTTCCAAAGAATAATGAAATTCAGTTTTTGCTTTCTTGTTCAATCAAATGTTTATTTCTGAAAATTAAAGCAACAGAAAGGATCACGAACAATGTGTTTCACTTAACAGAGTCCACAAAAAAATTAATTAAATCTCATTTATCTTAATTTAAACTTGGCTTTTGTAAGAGCCAAGTATAGAAGATTCCTGTTTTATGCTGCTTTTTCTTTAAGTTATAGTCATAACCTCAAACATGTGCTGTATATTTCAGGAAATTTAACTTGTTAAATTGGTTCTCAGGGATAATGAGGCATTGCTTCAGGATACAATGTTAGTCTTCATGGACTCTGCTGATTCTGGCTCAAAAACTTTGTTTTGAGAGCTTTGTCTTCCTGGAAGTGGTTTTTCTTACCCAATTTATTAGTTCATTAATATGATTCTTTTGTTTCAGTGAAGTCTCTGTGTTCAGAGACTTGGTTAGGTTAATTATGGTTAGGAAAAATTGGTACCAAGTGGTAGCAAGGATGGTCATCCCCTTGTAGTAGAGGGAGTCTTAATTTGGAATTTACCAAAGAGAGGTGGACTGTGTACTTCTAATCCTTACTTGTATGAAGCACAGTTCTTCAGCATTTTTGAGTAGCTGTCCTCTTGGCTGCCTGTGGTGCTCAGGAACTGGTGTTAGCTAAAGCTGGGAACACTTGTGTGGGAATACAGCATCTCCTGTGCTCATTTCAGTCTGGATCCATGCTACATGTATCTGTTTTATCTGTATGTCTCTTGTCAGTCATGCTCTGCTTCTGCTTATCATTATTGTATCTGAGTATTCTTTTCCTGGCCAGCTTTCGTTCCGTGAGTTCTCTTGTACGAGCATCCATCAGCTTATCCATTAAGGTTGTACAGTGTCCATGGCAATGAAGAACTGGTCTGGCAGTGTCACTACAGCCATCTGTACCATGCCTTGGCTTAAAACAGTTGCCTTATGTTTGCTGATTCCTTATTTTCCCTACTGTTCTTTCTATTCCTGCATAGGAAAGGCAGTTTAGTAGAAAAGATAATTTTGATTGTATATCGGTGTCTGGATGTCCGAGATTTTTGGAATAATTTAGTAAGTAAATTTTTCTGAAAAACAATATTTTTTTTTCTCTATTAGGAGCAGCAATAGTGGTTCTTTGCTTACCAAAACGGTGTGTTGCCATGGTTTCCAAATATCTTTCTCTTCAGAGCTTCTTGGCTTTGGCTTATGGAAGTAAATAGACTGACAAGCATGACCAGCTAGACAAAATGTCTTTCCCAGTTACCTCCATCAACATATGTGTTATCTTGCTGCAGGGGGAATGAATGGTTTTACATAGGGCAGTGTCTTGTGTATGAGCCTTGTAGCCTGCTCTGACCACACATCTACTCTGTTGGCTGTGGTTCTTTTGTGTTGGTTGTTGAACCCTGAAAAAATAAATTGTTTTGCCTCACCAGTGGTTATGGTCTAACCATGCAAGAGTTGAGTTGTTCAGCTGGAGGGTGTGAGTCAACTGCAGACCCCCTGCTCTGCTTTTGCCTACTTGTGCGTATCATTATATTCTGTCTGAGAAAATGCAGGGGATGTGAAAATTACTAGTTCTTTTGCCATCTGTCTGGGTTGCTTGCTGTCTTAGGAAAGTTTTTTAACAGTTGGAGAATTAAAAAGTCTTTTCAGAAAGACCAACTTCAGTTAGTTTTTCCAGTTCTGGAAGGGAGGGAAAGATCTGATTTCTCTGGATTAGAGCTGTTGGTCATACTTGGAGAATGGTATTAATATCATCTTCAGTCCTGGCTAGAAGAGATGATGCCACCTACAGTGATCCACCTACAAGATGTACAGCTCCAGGGACTGTCCAGGAAAGTACTGTACTCTTCATAGAAGGCCCCGTTTCCAGTAGTACTCCAGCACAACAAAAGTCTTGCAGTGGTTAAGATCAGGATGTGAACGGGGTGTGGGCGGTGTGTTGTTCTGGTACCAGAGCAGGGAGCAATCCTGTAAGGGAGGCAGTTACTGGAGTTAATCCACTCTTGTTTAGAAAAGTGCTGGGTTGTGATCTGAATGAATAATTGCAGGATGACTGTGACATAATTGTTTTACTCAGGCTCACTGTGGAGCCAAGAAGTTTGTATGATTCTGTGCTGATGTTTTACTGTTCAGGAACCCAAACTGTGGTTTTTTTATGTGGTATGATGCTGTGATGGTGTAGTGATACCATTTTTGGTGCTAACTCTGTGAGAGCTGGGATTCAGCTGTGTATAACTTCTCTGGGAGGTAGAGGTGGCAAGTCCTGCTGGGAAGCTTGTGCACTTCTGGGAGCCTGCTCTTGCCCTGAATCTCATGAGGAACAGAGGGCGCAAAGATTTATTCTTCTTGCTTCTCTCTCTTCTGCCCTGCCCCCAAATAGGGCACTTTCTGTTTTGGAGGCCAGACTGAAAAAGCATTTTGCTCATTGTTGTTTGTGTGTGGTGGTTCCTCCCACCCCCCCTTAATGCCTTATGGAGCCTGTGTGCAGCACCCAGCTGGTTCCTACATGACATGTTCCCCATTCTGAGGGTAGGACTGAAGGTCTATACTGAACCCTATTCCAACATTGCAAATAAGGCTCTGTGCTTCATTCAGTATGAGAGGAATTCCCTGTTTTCCTCAAAAGGAAGCTAATTTAGCTGCTAGGACTTGACATGATTGGTAAATGACTCTATTACTCTCCCAAAAAATTAGCTGAGCTTCTAGGAGATAGTTACGATTGCCTACTTTACTGGTAACAGTTTACTAATCAACGGTTGGTATTTCAGTGCTCTTTGAAATGTTATTATCTGATGTTGCACATTGAAGATAACCTACTGTTGTCAAAAGAGAACATTTGAAATCACTACCTCCAGAACTCAAACGGGTCTCTACAAATCATGTCTTCAGATAACCAGGCATGAACCTTCAGGAATGTCATCAAATACAGTGAAATCAGGGGGGTTGGCAATCCTGAATCCGTATATTGTATGCATATGATTTTTGTACCGTCTCAGAGCACTTTAAATACAATGATGATGGTTGTAGTTTAAATGTCTTTTGGGGGAGGAAGAAGTTTGTTACTTCTTGGGAATAGGGTTCTCATCTAAAAGTTCCAGGATTATTTTAATTAATGTTAGAGACATGGATTTAATGGATGGACTACTTGTTGGGTAAGGTGTTGGCTGGATGATCACACTTAAAGAGTTGCAGTCAATGGCTCATTGTCTGAGTGGAGACCAGTGACGAGTGGTGTCCCTCAGGGGTCCGTATTGAGGCCAGTATTTAACATTTAACATTTTTGTTGGTGACATGGACAATGGGATTGAGTGCACCCTCAGCGAGTTTGCTGATGACACCAAGCTGTCATCAGCTTGATGACATGTTAGAGGAAGGGGATGCCATCCAGAGAGACATTGACAGGCTTGAGAAGTAGGCCTGTATGAACCTCATGAAGCTCAACAAGGCCAAGTGCAAGGTCCTGGACCTGGGTCAGGGCAATCCCAAGCACAAATATAGGCTGGGCAGTGAGTGGATTGAGAGCAGCCCTGTGGAGAAGGACTTGGGGGTGCTGGTGTGTGAAAAACTGAACATGAGCAGGCAATGTGTGTCTGCAGCCCAGAAAGCCGATCACGTCCTGGGCTGTATCAAAAGATCTGTGCCCAGCAGGTCGAGGGAGGTGATTCTGCTCTGGTGTGAGACCCTGCCTGGAGTACTGCATCCAGCTCTGGAGCCCCCACTGTAAGAAGAATGTGGACCTGTTGGAGTGGATCCAGAGGAGGGCCACAAAGACGAACACCGCTGTACTGCGGTGGGCAGGGCCCCTGGCCCTCCAGCCTCCTCACGCTTCCCCCAGTAAAACCACATTTGCTACTTGCTTAGAGCACATCGGGTTGTTTTAACCTTCATGCTCCTGATGTGTTTAATGGACTAGAACACTCCTCGCTTTCTGTGTTCTCTGCTGTCCTAGACGTAGGGTCTGCCCACAGCCCAGGTGTTGCAATTCTGCAACTTTATTCTTCTCATCAACAACTGAGTCTGCTAAAAATTCCACTGAACTTACAAAATCTCAAACATTACTTTAGTTTCTTGCTTCTCTAGGAGAGTACTATGACAGAACTAAAGAGGAAGGAACTACATATATGTAGTAAGACCATCTCTGGCATCTATATTCTGATCTGGCATTCAAGGTCAGGCTTGATGGGGCTCTGAGCAACGTGATCTAGTTGGGGATGTCTCTGCCTACAGCACGGGGGTTGGACTAGATGGCCTTTTGAGGTCCGTTCCAACTCAAAGCATTTTATGATTCTATGAACAGGGGCCTGGAACACCTCTCCTGTGAGGGCAGGCTGAGAAAGTTGGGGTTGTTCATCCTGGAGAAGAGAAGGCTCCAGGCAGACCATACAGCAGCCATCCAGGATTTAAAGGGGGCCGACAGGAAAGTTGGGGAGGGACTCTTTTATTACAGAGTATAGTGATTTAGGTAGTGTAGGTTTTAAACTAAAAGAGGGTTGGATGTAGATTAGATTTTAGGAAGAAATTCTTTACTGTGAAGGTGGTGAGGCACTAGAAGAGGTTGCCCAGAGAAGTTGTGGATGCCCCCTCCCTGGAAGTGTTCAAGGCCAGGCTGGATGGGGCTTTGAGCAGTCTTATCTAGTGGGAGGTGTCCCTGCCCATGGCAGAGGGATTGGAACTAGATGATCTTTAAGGTCCCTTCCAGTCCAAATCATTCCATGATTCTGCAGTGTTTCTGCTCTTAACCAAGACAATGGTAATTTCCAAAGGAATATACAATTAATAACCTTTATAGGGAATTTTTTTTCAAGTATTTAATTAGGATGAGCAACACAATATGATTTTTTTTTTTTTTAATGGGGAAAGCATATTTGTATTTTTCGTATTGCTGATTACATGGCAGGGGAAAAAACCCTTTGTTCTGATTCTTGTTTTACATAATTATAAAAATCTTTAAAACGTTGTACAATTTGAATAAATGTTGTTGAGCAAAACTTTCTCACACACTTGAGGAAAGCAGTGTGTTGGAAGATGTGTTTTTCCTTTATCTAGATGTTCTGGTGGTTGTTCTGTGGGAGTCGATAAATGCAGCTTTTTTTTTTTAATATCATTTTTGCATTAGTGTTTAAAGCAGCAATGATTCTTTATGGCTAGGAGCTAGTATTTTTTCTTTTTTTTTCTTATATTAAAACTTTTAGGAGAGTTAATATTTCTAGAAGCACAGCGATAAAAACGTATGGAATGCTGCTTTTTATCTGCTATACACATGGCAGGTACTACACAAGATGCTTTATATTTGTGGAATTCAGTGTTAACATTATATGTGCTTTATTGTACAATTTATCTATTAGCAAGGAGAGGACCAGGAGTCCTGTCAGACAATGTTTAGTTTAAAAAGGGAGATTTGCTTTTTGGCATATATCATATCTCTTTCTGTTGCCTAACTTTTCTTTTTCTTTTTATATTTAGTTACTATAACACAAAGCGGTGGAATCCAGATTTCTAATCCTGCCTCTGATGGTGCCCATGGACTACAGACATTAACAGTGACAAATTCAGGAGCTCCTCAGCCAGGTGCTACCATTGTACAATACACAGGACAATCACCTGAGGGCACACAACGGTTTTTGGTTCCCGGAAGCCAAGTTGTTGTTCAAGGTATATTTTTAGTCTACTGGATTTTATTTTTTTCTTATAAAACAAATTTCCTAAAAGGCATTTTATTTTGTTTTGACATTGTTACACTAAAAAATGAAGTTAAATATTAATTCATTCAATGAATGAATAGTTATGAATAACAAGATGAGAGATTTTTAGGAGGAAACTCGGTTTCTCTGCTCAGTAAAGCAGCTACTTCTTTTGATTTAAAAAAGTTATGAGCCGGAAGTAGCAGTATAAAATCATTGAATAGAATAGTTTAGGCTGGAAAAGACCTTTAAGATCAAGTTCAACCGTAAAATCACTATCTGCTTTGAATTCTCTTGTCCAACCTTTGAGACACCTTTAATTACAATAAAGGTGCTGTTACAGATTGAAATGAGATCCTAATAGTGCATCTCTTTTAATATATGAAACTAATTTGTTGTTTTCAGATAATCAGTCCTTCTAAAACACAAGTTCTGAAGTTCTTTAGATATGTTTAGGGCAGAATTTCCTTGCAACTTAGGACTATCATAGCTATTGGAAAGATCCTTTACTGAAGTTAGGTTTCTCACAGAAGAGCACTTTGTAAGTCCTACAAAATGCACACGTGAACTGAACTGTGAATAGCGAGTTCTTGAAACCTGTTGTAATTTATGCAGGGTTTTATTTTCCTTTGTGTGTTCCCAGCCTTCTGGAAATGCTGAGGGAGATTGATAACCGAAAGTATCATGGATTCATATTGATACAAGGGGAAGTAGGGTTTGGATTAGGGTTATGCTGAGGAAAATGTTTGAAAATGGGGAAGAGATTTCTGTATGGAGACATTAAATTAATGGTTGCCGTGAAGGACATATGGAATTTATTTTCTCCCTTCAAAAAAAAAAAAAAAGAAGGGTACAGAGAAATAGGGAGGGAGGGCTTTATAAATATGCCAAAACAGCTCTCTGAAATGAACCATGGGAAGAGCTAGGAAGACTTGAAATATGTATTCATGGAGTGGATGAGAGTCATTGACACATGTAGATACAGCTACCTGAGACAGTTGAAGTCCAGACTGAGGTGCTTTTTTTCTACCTAATAGGGATGTTTGAAATAAAGTCTGTCTTTAAGAGGCTGTTTCTCTCCCTTTGCTGTAAAGCAAGCCAAAGATGTAAATAAAGCTAATAGCTTGTATATATCTGAACTTGTTGAGACAATGCTTAAATAATGATACCAAATTTGAGTTCTTCCATGGCTGCTGGTTAATTTCTTGGTGAAATAAATTATCCTCCCAGGACTTTTCAGAAGCATTTCAAGGAAGCTTGTAAGCTGTAGTTCTAAGGCTATAATATGGAAAACCCTTAGCCAAAATGTTAGTCTTCATCATGAAGAGGGTACTGTTATAAATCCCCATATAAATGTTATGAATACATTCTTAGCAAAGCCTTAATACCCAAATCTGGTTAACCTCCAAACAAATTTTGCACTCTGGTAGCGTGTTTTTTCTGAGTATGAGTCTGTTTTCTGTACATGTGTGTACACATCCCTGAAATTAGAGAACTTCTCTGTCTCTCCATGAAGAAGCACAGGACTTAGGGGTTTTATCTGGCAGTGCTTCATTCTATGGGAATTTCTTTTGACTGGCCATCTTTTACAGACTTTTTTGTCATGGAGTTACAGAATCACAGAATCGCTATGGTTGGAAAGGGCTTCTAAGATCTAGAGTCCAACCACCATCTAACTCTATCAGGCCACTCTTACATTGTATCCCTGAGCACCCCATCTAGACAGCTTTTAAATATATCCAAGGATGGTGATTCAACCACTTCCCTGGGAAGCTTGTTCCGGTGTTTGATCACCCTTTCAGTGAAGAAGTTTTTCCTAATGTCTAACCTAAACCTCCCCTGGTGTAGGTTAATACCATTTCCTCTTGTCCTGTCAGGTGCAGCATGTAAGAGGAGGCCAACACCTGCCTCCCTGCAGCCTCCTTTCAGGTAGCTGTAGAGAGCGGTAAGGTCTCCCCTCAGCCTCCTCTTCGTCAGGTGAAACAACCCCGGTTCCCTCAGCTGCTCCTCGTAAGGCTTATCCTCAAGACCCTTTGACAGCTTTGTTGCCTGTCTTTGTACCCTCTCTAGAACCTCAGTGTCCTTCTTGTGCTGTAGTGCCCAAAACTAAACACAGTACTCAAGGTGCAGCCTGAGCAGTGCTGAGTACAGTGGGACAGTCACTTCTCCAGTCCTGCTGAGTACACTATTCCTAATACAAGCCAGGATGCTGCTGGCCTTTTGGCCACCTGGGCACACCGCTGGCTCATGTTCAGCCAACTGTCTGTCAGCACCCCCAGGTCCCTTTCTGCCCAGCAGCTTTCCAACCACTCCTCCACAAGTCTATAGCTGTGCATGGGGTTAACATAGATAACATAGCATGGGGTTAACTGGATAATATAGAGAGCAAAATGCAAAGGGAATAGATAAGTGAGCATGAACTCGGAGACGATGGGAAGATAAAAAGGTTTCAACTTTATTATCCACACTGTTGGTACTTTTAAAAAATTCTTTAATAAAAAGAGTATGAAAACACTTGATGTTATACAGATCTCTTTATAATAATAATTGCATATCGTCAACAAGCCTGAGTTATTCAGGATGGAGTGAGACAATGGAATTAGTTGGATGTACAAATCTCTAATACATCCTACTGCAGATCATCCTCCCTATGCTGGAAAGTCTATAGGAATGTAGTTCATAAACATTTGTAATTTATGTACACTTTGTAGCTGACTGCCTAATATCGTGAGAACACAGATTATTAATACTGGAAAACAACATTCTGCTTAGTAATCTTTCCACTAATATATATTTGTATAATTAAATTTTATTTGTAAAAATCATAGAAGTAAAAGAAAGGAGAAAAAAAAAAAACAAAACAACCTGTCAGTCCTATAAGTCCAAACAACCTACCTGATCCTAGTCCTGTAATTCCTTCAGAATTTTTCAGATCACTTATATATATTTTTATTTTTTATAAAAAATTTGTTGATGAATCTCATGTAATAGTGGATGGCATCACATAAACACAGTGCTTGTTATTTTCTGATAGAGAAAAAGGATTAGTATAAAAGTGCCAAAGGTGTTGATTCAACTTGAGTAATATTTACCACAAGTTTACATTCACAGGCAAAATAAGAGGCAGTTCTGAGGTCCTGATGGTTTCCTAATACAAGCTAAGGGGTTTCTTGCTTAGTTGAAGCAAAAGCAAGTGTTTCATTATTAGTGAAAATGAGTATAGAAAAGCTTTGTCAAGTATCATTCTGTTGGGATCTGTGTGTGTTCTCATAATATGGTCGGTGACAGGAACAGTGGCATTTGGGATCTGCGGCTTGAATTTCTTGTGTGTTTCAGTTCTGGTCTTCTGTTCATGTGATCCTGAAGTGGTCCTGTAATCACAGGGCACTCTTTTTGCATTGCTGCTGCTTCCATTATTGCTGTTGTGGGCATAGTTTCACAGTTGACAAATTACCAGTCTGACGTTGTTTATTACAGAGAAAGGCCTTAGAAGTTTTCCATACCCTAAGTACATACAGGTGCCTGGACTGTTGTTTTGAAACTAAATCTGTTTAAATTGATATAAATAAGGAATAAGTCTGTTAGAAATGAGGTTTTTTAGTTTTAGTTTGTTTTTTTTTGTTTTTTTTTTGTTTTTTTTTTTAATTATTATTAATTTTTAAAACTGTCACCTAGATCTCTTGGACTTATTTTGGAAAAGGAAGGGCAGACTTTAACCAGTTACTGCTCTGGCTGTTACAGCATCTGAAATCACTAGCCTTAGATTGACTGACTTTGTTGTGCTTTCTTCAGTCTTTTCTGAAGCTTTTAACTGAAATTAAATGAGTGGGTTGTGGGTTCCTCCCCAACATGTCCCCCCTGCCAAGCAGGGAACTTTAGCATTTCACTTTGTTAGAGCTTACTAAGCTTTCCTGTCCTGCATGTCTGTCCAACAGAGTTCTCTGCCTTTTAGTGGAACTGCTCCAATCAAAACAATTGCACATCTTTTTAAAATTTCCCTGTTTTCTATCCAGTTCTGACTTTATCAGTCAGATTCATTCATGAATTCCAGAGCGCTGTTTTAATTTCTGTCAGTCGGTGCTGTGAATTTTCAGGTCTTACTTTAGCTTTGTGGTGGGTGCTTTCTGTAGCTTTATGAATAATTCAGGGCAAAGAACAAAGTGAGGCTTAGATAAATATGGACGAGGAAGAAGAAAAAATAAAGGCTTACTGGCAAAGGACTTCTCTGGGCTGCACTTTCAGTGAGCTGTTCCAGTGACAGAGCATATTAATGACAGTGGTAAGCAAGTGAGGTCACTGTGATGTCAGTGCTCTTGCTTGTAATCCTGCACATGCTTGCTAGTTTGGAACAGTGCACGCTGAGCTCTGGTAGAGGAACAGCAGAGTCGTGTGTGGAGAAGCTGATCATGGCTGTAACAGGAGATGAAACAGGTAAAATTTTTGTTATCCTTTTGCATATTTTTGGATGTCTAAGCAGTGCTTAGTATTTGTGAAATTTTCTTTTGAACCTGTTGCTGTAACTCTTTCTGCATTCAAAACTGGCACAAACAGCTTCTGGTTCTATCTAGTCAGTGTAGCATTTCAGGGCAATTTTAACAGCTTCATTTGGGGGAAGAAATATCACTGTAAGTGCATGAGTTCTGGCACAGATTGATTCACTAGTCTTTACTATTCAATGCAGGATTTGGCTGAAAAATCCACCACTCTTAAATTCTTCTTTATTGTGGAGAGAGTCAAAAAATGTTACTATGTTTATATTTTTTATTTTTGTAAAAATGACTGCTTTTTTGTTTAGCAATAAACATTTCAGATTTGATAGCTAAAATAGGCTTAAGCAGAGCTGTACGAGGAAGGTGCGTGTTGTTTGGGTATTGTAAATGAACCCTAATCTTTCTTTCATTATTGAAGAAAATACCAAATGCCAACAAATTTGAGCGAGCAGTAATTGTAAGTATTGTAATGCCTGCTTGTTTTCTCCTTCACTGTTAAAATGGTCTGTTCCTCAGCTAATTGAGTTCAAAAGGCTGACGTCATTAGATTTCCTGGAATCGTGTTGCAGTAGGGAACTGGAAAAGTTAAACTCCAAACAAGATACAGATTGACGTCAACTCCAAGTCATGCTGCGATTTAGTCAGTTCCTTTCTGCTTCGTCAGTTGCCTGGGGCAGCTCTGTGCTGTTAACCAGTTCCCAGCCGGCACCCACGGGTGTGCTGCTGCTTCAGCCTCCTACAGAGGGTTTCATTAATCCAAAGATAAGTATCTTCTTCAAGTCGATGGTTTGGTTTTTGAATTATTTTTTTTAATGCTCAAAGGGGTACTGATTCATGCCTTGTTTAGCCTGTTTAGTGGTGAAGCTAAAAACCCTTTGATAATCTCGAGCCATGCTGATGACTCACAGAAGGGGAGAACAGACACTAATACATGGCATACATCAGGCTCCTCTTCTGGGTGCTCACTGAAAGAACTGAAGTGCAGGGATGCTCTCTAGTGTTCAGCAAGTTACTTTTCCCAAGAGCCTGCTAATACAAGGTAGTTGATCTTTTTCTTAAATTTTTTTTTATATTTTTTTTTTCTTCTCAAAGCTTAGTTTGCACTAGTTGTACTCTTTTCATGTGATTTAGGTTTTTTTGTTGTTTGTTTGTCTTCCTGTTAATAATTGTAAGTCTCAACTCAAAGCTTCAGGTTTTCAGTGACTTTACTTCTTTGCAATTTTAAAGAGAGAGGGGGGAAAAAAAAAAGAAAAAAGATGGCCTGGGGCAAGATGTTGGGGAATTGCACGATCTCCAGGTCTGGTGTTTTGTTAGCAGTCTCAGTCCTAGGTCTGGTGCGTTAAGAATGGCTTTAAAGCTCCACGGGGTCTTATTGGGAATGGCCACAGAGGTTTTTCAGTCTGGTAGAAGGTGTGGAGGATTTTTGTCTTGGATGCTGAAATGGAAGGTGCCCTTCTCTCTAATATGTAGCTGTATTACTAGACTTAAACTATGATTTTTTTTTTTCCAAGGTTGTTTTATCCCATGTGCTTAAAGCCTAAGTGTTTTTTTTGAGGAAACAGTATTTTATTGTAACTTTATGAGTTATACAAAAAAATTTTGCAGACTTTGCAATAATGTATCATAAACCATGTATTACTGCACAACTAAAAGATACTTTGTCAATGCTATGCTTTTTTTTCCCCCCTGGGTTTGCAAGGTCTGCACCACCAAAATGCTTATTTGTTTCTGTTACCACGCTGGTAAGTTTATAAGTGAGCCAGCCTTTAGGCAGGGACAGACACTACTGAAACCTGGTCCAACTATCCAGGCAGCATGTTGTTAGTTAACAGTGGTGTTTGCTGATTCCAGCTGAGATAGGAACTCGCTTTTGTTAAGCCACATTGCAGGTACCTTATCAGAGTCCTCTTACCAACAGCAGCAGTAAATCCTGTTAGCTAACATCTGAGTGCAAGTCAAACAAAGACAGCAAAGTAGTTGGTCTTGCCAGGCTGAGGTGACCTGGGTTATGGGTCTTCCCCCATGACTTGATCTCAAAATGGCTCGCTGTGGCTTCTAATTCATTGTAGCTAATGCAAACTAAAGTGATAACATCTCTTTATACCTATGCTGAGAGCTAGAAAAAGGTAGCTCTCACTGTGGAGTCCATAAATTGTTGTGGTACAGCCAGCATAAAGGTGAGCCTGAAGAGTTCTGAAATTCCATTTTTATAAATAGTCAGGTGAAGTATTGGCCCATTGACATGACTGGGACTTCTAAGAGATATGGAGAACTTAAAGGGTTAAGTAATTCTCTTTCGGATGTACAAGAAGACCAAGCCTTGTGTTCATGATGGCTGCCTGTTAGTGCTCAAAGGGCTGTCCTGAGCCGATTTCTCTCTCCCTCCCCCATCCCCAGGGGATTATCCACCCTGGGTCAGTTCACTGGTCCAGTTCATCTTTAATTCCACAAACACTTTTACCCACAGGACCAAAAGTAGGGGGGGGAGGTGCAGAGTGTTTAAGCTGATAATGATTTCAGGACATGTCTGTAGAATTGTAATCTAAACACAGCGTGATCCTGGTTTTTTTGGTATTTAATTAGTGAAGCACCTGCATTAACTTAACAGGAATAATAGTAATATTTTTACTAAGTTTGTTGGTTTTTTTTTTCCCCCTATAGTTGACTGCTGTCTCTTTCCTGCTTTGTCAGCCTCCCCAAAGTGTTTTTGTCTACATTTTATTTTTCCAAGTTGTTCCATTTTTGGCCGGGATAGAGTTAATTTTCTTCACAGTAGCTGGTACAGAGCTATGTTTTGGGTTTAGGATGAAAATAATGTTGATAACACACTGTTGGCTTACAAAAAGTCAAGTGCTTTTCAGCTACTCACCCCACGCCACCAGTGAGTAGGCTGGGGGTGCCTGGGAAGCTGGGAGGGACACAGTTGGGACAGCTGGCCCCAAGTGGCCAAAGGGAAGTTCCATACCATGTGATGTCATGCTCAGCATGTAAAGTAGGGGGATGGCTGCCTGGGGGGGCTGCTGCTGCCAGGGTGGGTGAGGGGGTGCCTGCTGCTCATGAACAGGCTGGGCTTTGCTTCCTTGTCGGTGGTGAGCAATTGCCTTTCATTTGCATCACTTGTTTGCCTTTGTTTTATTTTTCTCTTTTCTTGTTATTTTCCTTTTAATTATAGTTTGTTTATTATCGTTATATTTTAATTCAGTTATTAAACTGTTCTCATCTCAACCTATGAGTTCACTCACTTTTACCCTTCTGATTCTCTCCCCATCCTACTGGGGGAGGGTGAGGAGAGTGGGCGAGCAGCTGTACACTTAGTTGCTAGCTGGGGTTAAACTGCAGCACAAGTCAAGTTCTTCCATTGTTTGAATATTGCTTTAAAGAATTAAAGTGTAAATTAAGTATAATGTAACAGACACTGAAGTTTCATCTTTATATTCAATTGCTTTAATGACAAAATTTGAAATTCTGTTCTATGAAGATGTAAAATATTTATGGAAAGGTATAGGTAAATACTTGTCTGTAATTTGAATAGGGATACACTTGGTTGTTTTTTTCCTCTGTCAGACAAGACAGGAGTACTTTAGACTTTGGCTGTGTTTTAGTGTTGGGGTACATCATGTAGAAACAGAGCACTTCAGAAATACAGAAATGAGGTGAGACTATTGGAAAGGTACTGGCTCCAAATAACATGTCAGGTTTTGGATCTGCATTTAGCATGGAGAGAGCTCAAAGCTGGTAGGCTCAGGACCTGAATCTGAACTCTTGCACTCTGATTTACTGCGTAGCTACACCCTTTCCTGTGCGACCGCTACCTCCTCTTGCCCACTGTGCTGCAGCGTCCTATTTGTGGTCCTCTTCCTCAATAAACATACTCCTGTTCAACATGAGCACTTGTCTGTTCATTTTGGCAACAGTGGCTCTCACTGGTTTTCCAAGAGTTGCCAGACTTTTCTCCAAACAAGAAGAAAGACTTGACTTCTGAAGCAAGTTGACTCCTGAAGCCTCTGTTAGAGGACAGGGGTAGCATATAAACTTCAATGGCTGCAACAGCAGGACCATCTTTTCATGGGATTGTGCAAAGAGGAAATAAGTGTGGGCACTCTGTTTTTCAAACAGTTTTCCTCGTGTTGTCAGAAAAATAAATGTGGAAGCTTTCACAGGCTTCAGTTGGGCAAGCTAGTGTGGCCACATGCTAGAGCAATTTAGATAACATTTTACAGCGTGGAAATAAATGCTAATAAGATAACAAATATAGTTGGGACATGACAGGCTTGTGAAATATTTTATGAAGCAGAGATTCTGGATAACTCATCAGCAAAAATCTGTTCTTTTCAGAGAGACTTTTGCATGGTTCTTTTTTGCCATGAAGTGTTAAATGTGATTCTTTTGTACAGCTGCCACTGGAGACATGCCAGCTTACCAGATTCGGTCTCCCACTACTACGTTACCTCAAGGAGTGGTAATGGCAGCCTCACCAGGGGCTCTGCATAGCCCTCAGCAACTGGCAGAAGAGGCAACACGCAAGAGGGAGCTGAGACTTCTGAAAAATAGGTAAGACAATGTGACAATTAGTAGTCAGGGCTGTAAAAAAAAATCCCAAAACATTCTAATAAAGGTTTCTTCTTAAGGTCATGAGCATCGCCTGGGATTTATGGAGGGAAGGCAGGAAATTCTTGGTCAGTCATCCCATGTCCTTGTAGGATTGAGTATTGGCTGCTAACTCTGGAAAGTTAGAGTTGACCTTATCACCATGGATTTTTAGTTCTAAAATATTGTAGTAGTTCAGAAATCAGTATTGGCACTGTCCCTTTCTGATACTTTTTGTGATGATCTGGAAGTATACTTATTGCTGAATTCCTGCCCCCTCCTCCCCCAGGTGATAGTAAAATGACCAGTACGGGTTTGTTCCTTTTGAAACATCCTAGCAAAAAATCGGTTAGGAAAATTCCTGAGGACCTCATTAGCAGTTGTCCTTTAATGATGCTTTGAAGAGGACTTATTCTGGGATGGAATGATAATTATAGACTTTCCTGAACACTTGGCTATTGGGATAAGTTATTGTGCAGTGCCCCTGTCATTTAGTGAGGCCTATTGTGTGAGTGGGCTGTATGTTTTTTCATTAGTTGACATGGGCTTGACTGTATGCTGTAAATGCCTTTTTTTCTCTGTACATTCTTCTTGCTATGCTTAGGAGACTTTTTATTTTTTTAAACACATACTGCTGTCAGCGGTGATCAGTGGAAGAAACAGTCTGCTTTGCAGGTCTGCTCTGCAGATCTCTAATCCATTGGATAGTCGCTTGCCTTGTGATGGAATTAATGGCATTGCTTTGCTCTCATGCCTGCCTTCATTTTAAATTACAAGGATTGCTGTATTGTTGTGCCTCCTTTCATTTCTCCTCTCTTCATCTTTAAAACCAGTGTCTATGCTATCTCTCATATAACTTGCTGGAAAGTTACACTCTCACAACTTGACAGTGTGTCAGGTTCCAAGATATTAAAGGAGTGGACTCACAGTACTTCAAAAATTTCTTCTGGAATTGAGTGCTTGTTCAGTCACATGCTTCTGAAAGTACTACCCAGATTGTTTAGCTTCAGTCTAACAGAATTCTGAGCAGAGATGTGAGGATGACTCCAGACTGCTATTTCCAGCAACAAAACCCAGACACCAGGCTGAAATGTCTAGGTGGACAGTTCTAAACTGCTAATGAATTGTGTTTGTTTGGACTTAAATTTTACTGTTTGTAAAAAACCAACCAACCAACCAAAAAAAAGCAGGCTGTAAGCTTAGCATCAGTTTTTGTTTTTTTGTTTTTTTTTTTTCTGATGAGAGTAGTGTTCAGCTTGTATTTTCTGAAAGTAAATTCTTGGGGTTGTTTTTAAGGTTTTGCTTGCAAAATATAATATTCCTGATAAACACACTAAGTGGGATGTGACTGGAAGAAGTGCTGCTTTCAGCCTTAATATTTAGTACCGTTCCAGTCAATACGTTTTGTTTACTTGATTCTTTTTAGTTCCTCTCTGTATTAATTCCATCTTTGTATTTGTTGATGCTGAATTTGTTTCACTTTCTAGTTGTTTTGAGTTGTATTTTAACCATGTTATTGCTTATGGCTGTTACCTGCTGTTCTGTTTGTACAATCCAACAGTTGTTGCTGTTGGTGGTTTTGGTGGTGGTTGTTGTGGAACTCCAGGGTGTGCAGGTAATTTCATTTATCCAGTCTTTGCCATTTTGTTCCTGTAGTCATTTGCCTTGTATTGGTTCCAGGGAAGCTGCCAGAGAATGTCGCAGAAAGAAGAAAGAATATGTCAAATGTCTTGAAAATCGTGTGGCTGTGCTTGAAAACCAAAACAAGACTCTCATTGAGGAACTCAAGGCCCTCAAAGATCTTTATTGTCATAAAGCAGAATAACTGTCTTTCATTTGGACCTCGTTTATTATGAACTTTAATCAAGGCATGAGAGGAAGCAATTCTACAGATTGCCATATGAACTTGAGAAAGAGACACTTGAGGCCCTTGTGGAACCCAGTTTTGCTTAGTGTTTTCAGACTGATTTGGGAGAGATTCCAAAATTTGGAATTCTGTCATAGTCTCCATACTCTGCTGAGCTTTCTAATGGCATGCAAATGGCTTCTTTGTTTGCACTTTTTACTTCTGCTTTTTGCAGGGAAGCTGCTAAAGAATGTCGACGTCGGAAGAAAGAATACATAAAATGTCTGGAGAGTCGTGTTGCAGTGCTAGAAGTTCAGAACAAGAAACTTATAGAGGAGCTTGAAACCCTAAAAGACATTTGCTCTTCCAAAACAGATTAGTAAAAATATTTATTTTACTGTGAACTGACTAAAATGCGTCCAGTTGCTTTATAAGGCAATACGTAGCCAACATGAATTATGGCTTTCTCTTTGCGTCATTTATATTATATTCCAACTCCTAACATTCCTGAAATGCTTTCCTGCTTCATGTCAATTCATAGCTCTAATTTCAGGTTTTTCATGCTGCTCCCTTCCATGTCCCAAGGAGCCAAATGTTAAAAAAATGTATCAAAGTAAAAAAACCCCTATAATTTCTAAGACCTATTTCTTTGCCATATATTTACATACTACTTTTTACATGGTGAGTGTCCTGCACCTATAAAATATTTTACAGTTGTTTTAGATGAATCGTAAAGATAATGCATCCAGTAGTACAAGAAAATCAAACAATCCAAGGTATCTCAGGAAAGAGTTTATAAAAGAATGTTATGATTACACATATGTACTAGCATACTAGCCTACAGATGATTTTATGGCATATTTTTATATTAGTTGCTTTGTGGAAAAAAGTATTGTATTGCTGTCACTGAGTGCCATGGTTAAAGATAGTTTTTAATAGAACCATGTTGTTTAATCTGTGTAGTGTCTGATTTCTTTTAAAAACCTGATTATTTGAGATGCATTGAAATCCGTGAGTATCTGGAAGAGGACAAAGGAAAAGAGAGTACCTAAGCTCGTGAGGTGACTCTAAGTATTTTGTAAGTACCTGAAAGAAGCTGTCTGTTATATGGCTGTTATTTACTTAAATTTTCTGCAGTCTGTTGAGTATTTGCTTTATTAGAGGTCTGTCTATCAAAATTCAATTTTGCACCCTGAATGCATTGTGTTCTAGATGCTGGACAGTTGTAGACAGTTGACAGTGAAGGCTGATGGAGTAGCTCTTCTCACAGTCTCTGCCAAGTACAGAGAGGAGGTAAAGGTGACTTAAAGAAGGAGGCTTTCCAATAAACAGTAACTAGCTGCTGATTCACAGTGCTCCGGAATAGCCCATAGGCGAGAGCTGAAGATTTTTCAAGTAAACCCATGCTTAGAACAGATTACAGTTCTGGTAAATGCAGTATGTGCCAACTTTCCACTGTGCTTTGAAAGAAAATAGTGCTTATGCAAAATTGCTTCTGGGTATTTCTTTAATTCAGGAATGATCTAATTGTTTGTTGGCTAGTACAGTCTAAGAGCAGAGTATTTGGGAGCTTTGCTGGAACAAGCAGCACCATTGCCTTACTGGTGTTGTAGGAAGAAAGGCTTAGTTCCTACTTTACTGGAGGGAGTGTGTGTGTGTGTGTATGTGTGTGGAGCCGGGGAGGGATGGAGTCATGCCACTACTGAAGTCATTGAGACATCTTCTTTTAATTTAAAATGAAATCTTATTTAACCTAATCTTCTCTCTGACACTGTTGGGGTGTATGTGTATCTTTTTTTAAAAATGGTTTCCTTTTAGCTTTCCCAAATTACTTGAAATACACAAGATAACTCTCTAATCTTCTCAAAAACCCTCTAGGTACATGAGAACATTAGTAAGAAGAGATATGATCTTTCACTTCCTGCAGCCACATCAGTTGATTTAAAAAGGAAACGGCCTACCTTTTGGGCCCAGAGGCTCTGCTACAGGTCTGGCACACAAGTAAAGTACACTTTGAAATATCTGTTTCACTGTGAAAATGCATCTGAAGTGCTGAAGTCAGCAGAATTCAAAGGTTCTGTTAAAGTTGGGCAGGATGAGTACAGTCTGCAAATCCATATTGCAGCCTCTAGACTGCAATAAGTGTCCAGAAAATTGTTTCTTGTGGCTCTATCAATAGAATCTGTTTTCTGTTACAGGTAGGCATTGCTCCTGACTCAAGGGATTTGGAAACTTCAGTGGAAAGAAACTTGAGTGCATGGTGGATGTCTTTCCAGTAAAAACGTCTCTTATTTTTATCTTCCCAATAGTATCTGGTACTAACTGTTGCTATAAATGTGATAAGAATCATTGTTTGTTTCACATCTGTGTACTCTACAGTCATCTCTTTGCTAATACTTTAAAAACATTTGTTTGTCTTATTTTTTATTTAAATAATTACTTGTGGGTGGGTGCTCTGTTAATAAGGGAAGCTAAACCCAAATGCTTTTGGCGTGTGTTTGGTCAGTCTGGAAAACTCCATTTGATCTCTTTATGCGCACCAGGGAGAAGTACAGAGTCAGAGAATCACAAAATGGTTTGGGTCAGAAGGGACCTTAAAGATCATCTCATTCCAACCCACTTGCCATGGGCAGGGACACCTCCCACTAGAAGAGGTTGCACAAGGCCATATCAAACCTTGTCTTGAACCCCTCCAGTGATGAAGCATCCACAGCTTCCCCTGGGCAACCTCCTTCAGCATCTCACCACCCTGAGAGTGAAGTATCCTGCTTCACAAAAGTCAGTGGCACAAAACCTGGCTTATTTAGAGTAAGACTAGGAAAAAAGCAAAGTTTATGGCATATTATTCTTTCATTCTCAGTAATTCAGCTTGGTATAGACTTGACAGAATTAGCAACACACATTTTTGTGTTTTAAAGTGAGAATAAATGAGTTTATTGGTGAATAAAAACATTTAAGATGAACAGTCGGCAAATTAGAATCAATCTTTTGGTGAAGGAAGTGACTTAGTTAAAAATAATCAAAGGCAGGTCTGCACAAATGCCAAGAATCTGTTGTCAAATTGCTACTGCAAAAGTTACTACTTAAACTACTTAAAACAATAAATCCAGTTCTGAACTGAGATGTATATTAAAAACCTTGTGAAAGAATTCCTTCAGATTAAATGAAGATTTGAAGGAAAAGTCCATGTACCACTGGAGTTTATCAGAGAAATAATAGCAAAATACTTAGGTGAGATGGGACTACTGGAGTCTGGGTCTCTCTTCAAGCCGTGTACCAGAGGATTAAAGCGACAGATAGGATATATAAATTTGTTAGATTATACAGGAAAATAAATTGTATGAAGTCTTCCTTCAGTTTATTTTTTCTTTTTACTGTGTCAGTATAGCCCTCTCAAGTTTTTGATCAGCTGTGGAACTCGTTTTACCCTCTATCAGTGTCATGTTTCTGAATATAGGTCAGCACTGGAATCCAGTGTAGATGCACACGTGCTATGAATGAGATTTTTTCTTTTGCTTTGTTGCCCACCAAGCTTGCATTTGTGCATATAAGTCCTGTGCTTGCGAGTGCTCTTCTCCAAAGGCAGAAAAAGTGAAAATGCCTGGAACCACACTCATCATTACTTCTTGCTCTTCACAGAAGAGAACTGAAATTTGACTGAGGTCTAAGTTTGTAAAGTTCTTGGGAGATAACAAACATTTTAGGAGCTGTGTCCTGGAGGACAGTCCAGGCACAACAGCCTGTGCTTGTGTAATAGTGCTCCCATTCTGGATACCAGGGCAAGAAAAGGTCAGTTTATAGTGATTGTGTGGAACTTCTTAGGGTAAACTTTAAGGGGGTGATATTTTTCTGAGAATACTTCTTGATGGGAGAGAGGAAACTGCTGTCTGCATTTGTCTGTCTCTTCACATTGTAACCACTTTTGGTTCGTCCAAAGGCCAAACAACCTGTTTGCAGAGAATTTACCGAGTGGATCAGACACTGAGCTCAAAGTATTTCATTCAGTGACAATGGCTGGTAAAGCTCCTCCTTTGAGTTTCTTCATGTCTCATTCTTTGTGTAAACGATAGATCCATCCCTTTTCCTAAAAGTGTTATCATCTAAAGTTGTACTGTGCAAGCATGCAAATTAACTCTTAATTTTTGTGAAGGCTCTGTGATGTGGTTGTTGGATTGCATAGCTAAGGTAGCACAGGATCAGTGGCTGTTGTGGCTCCTGTGAGTACTTGGACTTGCCCTATAACCTCAATTTTACTACTTTGGTTTTCAGTTGAACCAGGCGTTGGCTTCAGTACTCTTTCCAAAGAACTTGACCACAAGACCAAAAACTACCTTATGTCTTGTACCATGTATGTATTGCTGAGTTTAACGCTTTTTTAATTGTGATTTCCTTTCTGTAAGAAAACTGCACCTCTGTGTCACAAAACTCTTCTTTGCTGAAATGGCACAACTGTTTGCAAATTTCTTTGAGACAGATTGCTAGAGGATCTACCTTTACTTCACAGGAAGGTGTACACAGGACTGCATGGATATTTTATTTTTTTTTTAAATAGAATTTCATGTAGCGCAGGGGAAATGGTCTCTTGAAAAATATCTTCAGCCTCCTATAGTTGTGGGCAGTGAGGGATGTAATAGTCAGCTTCCTCCTAAGTACAGCTTTGAGTCATAGCTCTTTTCTTCCCCATCTAAATGGAGTGGGGGGTAGGGTTATAAAGAGAAATCTCTAGGCTATCCAGGCAGAGCTGCCTTTTGACTGTCTAAAACAGCCTCAGCTGTTGTGACCTGGGAGAAAAAGAGATTACAATAGGTATATTTTGTGAGTAGGTGTGGGTTTGATTTCTTCAGGGGTCTTTTTTTTGGAGGGTGGGATGGGTTTAATTGTTAGTTCCCATGGATTTTTCTGTTGGCAAGAATAATTGTAGGTTTTTCTGCCTGCACTGATACAGTCATAAGGAGTGCAGGCTCTGTTGTCTCCCACTTGAGTTCTCCAGAGTTCTCCTTGCATTCTTACCAAACATAATTTTTGATCCGTACAGTTACCCTGCAACCATCAGTGTAATAGCTAAAACCAGTGTCATCTTTTTCTGAATGAAGTATCACTTCAGAGAAAACAAAGGGGTCTGCTCGGCATCTGGTTTGGATTGACTCATTTTGCCCACAATTTTGTCTTCTGATTTATGCACTTAGTGTTTGTGGGTGTGTGCATGACAAGAATGTATTGAATGCTGAGCTGTTATGCAGCTGATGGAAGTAGCTGCATTTTGATTGTCAGCATTCCTGTGTAAAATACTCTTATGGGGAATGGGTTTAATTTGGTTGGGGATTGTATTTATTGTTTTTTTAAGGCACTGTGAGGCTTTTCTGGATGAGGGATAACAATGATTTCATCATTCTAGTGAAAGTTGTCTTAATCCTAGTATTTGCTTCATTTAAAAACTGAAGAGAATGAGTTGATTTCTAGAGCAATTTGATACATATTTCATGCAGACTGACAATGGCAGGAAGCAAAAATCAGCTTATTTTTCTGTCTCTTATGAATCTTTTCCGGTCCATTTTCCCAGGTTTCTTATTTTTTCCTACATCTAAGACAGAGGTTCCTTATTGTGGCTTGCTTGTTTGGCAGAATTGTGAAGCAGAAGCTGTACATATGCACAAA